TACGTGCAACCTAATGTTAAATGTTACATAATGAGAACAGTTATAGCCAGTCAGCATCTAATAGCTAGCTATTAATTTAAGATTTTTATTAGCCCATTAGGATGTTTAAAGCATTTCTGCTAGAAACATTGGGAAGTAGAATTTCTTTCCAGAATGTACATATGAAATTTTTTAAGTACTACTTTGCTTTTCTGCTGTTTCACTCCTCTGCAGAGTTCCCAGGCAACCCTGATACATAAATCACAATATGTGCTTTGAGTCCTGCTGTTTCACTTTTACTGCCTGCTTGTACATACAAGAGAATGGTTGTAAAACACAATGATATGGGAGGCAATTAGTGACTGTCCCGTATTTCTTTTCTAACTTATTGTTGTTTCAGGTACTAGATAAACTCAGTGAGACTTTAAGTTCCATGGATGGTGAGAATATTAAGGAGGAATTGGTGGAAGTTAATGAAGATCATATGGACAGGGCTTTGGGAGAACTAGCTGGATGCCAAACAGGTATTACATGGAGAAATGCAAAGCCAAGTGAATGTATTTGTCCTGACTTAGGAGTTAGTTAAATTCAGTGATTTCAGACTGTAGCATGTTTATCTTTTGCTCTAAGATTTTATGACACAGTCAACAGTGAAATCACACTGAAATCTGCTTAGAAAAGGATGAAATAAATAACCCTGCCTGCTCTTTTCTTCTCCTTAAGAGCTCAGCGCTGTTGGTGATGCCAGAGAAAACAGAACATGTTGGCAGGCTGGAGCCCCTCACACACTCCTGAATGTTTTAGCTGATGCTGGTGTCACATCTGTATCCCCTGCTATGACTGAAAATGAAATGGGTAAGAACGTATTACATTTTTTCAGTGAATGAAGATAAGAATGGTTAGAATTCAGCCAGATGAGTTAGAGACTTTTGCCAAGACCGTTCCAGACCTGAATGCTCACAGGATCTGGCAGGGTTTTACTCGCAGGGCTTTGTGCAAAGCCTGTGGGTGAACAAGAGCTGGAGACTCCCACACAACTGATCAACCAAGCTTTGGGGTGATGACACACAAGACAGTCTGCAGCCAACACCATCCACGGACACTCCACGCAGGGGGGTTGCTACAGTCACAGGGGCTGTGTACCCTCACGCAGGCGCAGCTGCTGGGGCTCCTTTTGGGAACAGGTCAGCTGCTAAGCTGCTCAGAGGACCACAGCGTGTATTCCCAGGGAGCCAAGGATATTCAGGGACTGACTGCTGCAAAAGAAGGATTATTCCAGCATTCTGCCAGTACCCCCATGCTCAGAAACACCCTGAAGAGCTTGCAGGGACAAGCAGGCCAAAGCTACGTGAGCTTTGCACATCTTGTCCCCTCATCCTGGCTCGGATGTGAGCGCAGGGCACAGCAGAAGCAGGAACTTCCTTGGAGCTTTTTCAGTCCAAAGAAAGCAGCCCCTCTGCAACAAGAACTACTGAGTGAAGCTGCAGCTCTTTATTCCAGACAGGCCTAATTAGCAGTTATTGGAGCATAAAGATCTCTGTTAGAAATTTTTAGTGGCAATTAAGCCTTATAGTGGCCAGTGGTCCCAACTATTATTTATCTACAATATCAATCAGATCAAATACTTATCAAAAAAGTCTTCAGAATGGAAAAAAAAGTTTCACAAGGAAAAACACGTCAAATTTCAGGATGACCCAAAGGGTATAAATTGGTATTAAAGAGGCTGAACCTGACAAAAGACAGTGCCAAGCCACAGGCATGTTTACTGACCTGAAACTTTCCTCTTCTTTAGCCCATGTTATTCTGCTTGCAGACCTGCCAGAAGACAGGAAGCAATGGAAAAAAGCACCCCCAGGGACACTCCTGAACATCTTTGCCAAAGCAGAACTGTGCAATGACTCCTTTATTCAGCTTGAAGAAGAAATAGGTAGGATGGTAGTTATTGTAAATTCTGCAAGCTTTTCTTTGGTGTAGCATTTCTTCTACCATTGGAGAACACTTTTGTTTAGACCTAAAATTTTGAGGTTGCCAAAGGAGAAAAGCAAGTGTAGCCTCTATCTTTTAGCAGTAAAAAAGGCTTCTTTCGGGGTGTTAGCTGGGTAGCTGCCGTTTTCAATTGCACGAAAAAGGGGAAATTCTACTTATCAGCTCTTAGTTCAGAGAGTATTTCCATTTACTTGGGTAGATGGAGTCAAGTGACTATAGCTACCATGCTAGAAAGGAACAACCCTGCAACTGCTGTGACTGAAGGACCTAGGAAAAACATTTATACAAGTGCATGTATTTATATAGAACGACCACCAGCTGCAATACGTGATGCCCTAAGCTGCAGTGGTAACGCACCATGTCATGACATAGCCCATTGTGATAGAGCTGATGCTGAAATTAATTCCAGCTTAGTTAGACTACAGCGGGTTTTCTGAAATAAGAAAATAAATGTGTTTTAAAAAACACATTTGAGTTAAAGTGCATTTTAAGCACTGACTAAAATACAAAGCAAGAGTACTGCCCATAGAAAAATGCAATAAATGTAACCCGAGATTGTATTTTTATGCCCTACTGCTAGTCTATCAAGTGTTTCATTAGATGACACATCTTTTAAGCCAGATAAATAGTAGAGGCCAAATGTTAACATTTTTAATGCAAGAAATATCTTCCATTTGTAATTATGCAGTCGACACTGCTCCTAATTATGCCTCATACACATATTTTCTCGTAAGGTAACAAGGTCTTTTAAAACCACCCCATCCTAAAAGCTGAACGAGCTGAAGATCCACTCCTGTCCTAGGACAACCTTTATAACCCATGCTAAGGAAAAGGAAATCAAACCACGCTTCACTAACGCCAGCGGTTCAGAGGGTTCATGCAAAAATAAGGTCACACACGTATTCTAACTGCCATTGATTTTATCAGTTACATTTATTAAAATATTTTGAAAGCACTCTCTTAATACACAGTTCTGCCCTGCTACTCAGGCTGATGTTGTGAACTGTACCATTACCTGCACTGACAGACTGTTGTGGAAATGCAGAATTCAGCCTCTACATAATAAGACAGCAACTCTGGTCTAACTGTTTTCTCCCCTTTCAAGTTTGGTCTGCCCTTTAGTCTTTGAAAGTGAACATTCTTAGAGAACTACAGCTACATCCACACAGGAATTTGCAGCTTTTCCAAAGCTGTCCCTAAGTTTTCCCACTGAAAATGTCAAGCCTTGTATCAGAAACTAACAACAGGTTCCCTTTCTTGCTTACCTGTACACAGCTTTGGTTACCATCTACAAACACTCAGAGCAGAAGTTATAAACTATTGACTAGAACATTTGTGATCAAGAATACTAGAAGTCAGCTAAGCATATTTACAAGATTGTAATTTAAACAAAAGTCAAGCATTTACACATGAATTAGCTACTAATTTATAAACTCTTATAATTTATATATAAATAAAGGAACATTTCTTTCCCTTTCCAGAAGGGACATTATTAACCTCGTTGCCTTCAAAAGAAAACAAGGAAGATGATTCAGAAAAATACTCTGCCGTTGACGTTACTGAAGGGAGAGTTGAGCCAAGATCAGATGACGATGACACGTAAGTCAAGGACACCAGAAGAAAACCATAAAAGTGAACAGTTCTCCCAAAATCACAGGCTGCATTGCCACAAGCATTTCCTCTCTGCCCTTTTAAACTCATAAATCAAGAAAAGTTAGTAGTTCTACAGTCTACTAATTTAGCTTTTAATTTTGTAATTTAGAATTTTAACTGGCCATGATGCCATTAAGAATGTTATGCAGAAGGATTACGGTGACTTTTGCATTTCCTGCTATTGGACATTATAAATACAGGGAAACAATCTGATGGAGAAAGAAGAAAGAACTCACGTTTTGTATCTAACTTCTATATTTTTACAAAGTAAGTCTCACAAGCCTCAACACTAGAAAAGTTTACAACAAGGCTGTTTAATCAATGTAATGTTCTTACTCAATTTACAGAAATTTTGAAGATTCTGAAGATGAACTGAGGCATGGACTGGAAGGATCTCTAGAAAAAGTGTCAGCTTCTCCAGCAGAGAGAACCCTAGAGCCTCCCATCTCTTCCACAAACCAAGGTCAAACAGATGAAGAAAAGATGAGTTTACCTAGCAAATTACTTACAGACTCTGATGAGGCTTCATCACGGTTGTTTAGTGCTGACACACACAATGAAAACAGCAAAAAGGAAACAACAGCTACCTAGGCTATTGGAATAATTATCGCTTCAAAACTTTATGTGCTTGAAACTAGCAACATCTGCAGCAAGATTTAAAAATAGACATCGAGTGCCAAGTTAATCAGCTGCTTTTCAGTGCTGCTGAACACTCCGTTGAAATTAATAGAGGGTTGGTGTCATTCTTGTCTAAAAGATTAAAAACAAATCAGGCTTATTCAGATGCCTAAATTTTGAAAAATGTGATCCAGATTGAAATGAATTTTCATTTTTATTATTCTAAACTATTTTAGACATCTCTGACTTTAGTAAATGTCTGATTATGTGCTCTTTTCAATCAGTTTTGTACTGTTTAATACAGTGTCCTGGTCAGTATATTTTTGAATCAAGTTCATGCTTTAAGAAGCTTTTCCAAATTCTCATTATCTTTGTGTTGCTGGTGTATTTTATCATCTTCATGTTTAATTTGCACAGTATGGACCCTACATTATATCACCAACCAATCAGCAGGTTTATATAGTAGCAGTAGAGGTATTTATTAGCACTAAGAGAATTGCATTCCCAAATTCCTAATAAGACATGAGCAACATGTTCTTCCAACCATGTTTTTTCACGTAGGAAATTTCATATAATCCAGGTAAAGTTTCAGTGGAGGGGAAAAAGACATTTTAATTCTGATTTCAGTAGCTTTTTGCACTTTTAGTTTGCAAGGATATAAAATACTGCTTTGTTAGTTCAGAAAACACTTTTCCACTTTTGACAAAAAAAAGTCTACTCATTTAACAATTTGCTTGCTTTGTTCTCAATTTAATAATAAGCAGTAGTTTATAGTGGCAAAGTTCACAGTTGTTTATCGTTTAAACTTTTATCCTCTACTCTACAGTCTCCTTTCTCTTAGGAATACCAACATTTTTGATATAGGACTGCAAAAAACCTTTTGTCATAGAGTAGAACAGGAGAAAACAGTTAATAGCATGTACAAGTGAAGTTATTATACATATTAAAAAGCAAATACGGTATGATTAACTTTGAGGAATCCCTTTGAGCAATCCCAACTTTGAGCAAAAAGAATCCTAAAAAGGAATGCATTTTCTTTTCAGATTTTTAGGGTGTGCTTAGCTTTACCAGTGGGAGAAATCTGTATGTGGATAAAAGCGGCTGTAGACACATCGTGTGTGTCTCTGGAAGGATTCTGATCATTATTAAAAAAATAAAGTTTTCATCAGAAATAAAAGGGTGCATATCTTATGCATTAGAAGATCAAGAAGAATCCTGCCAAATAGGATTTTGTCACTCAGGGGGAGACAGCAAATTGAAAATGGGATATTCTGAAAGAAAAATATCTGAATATAAAGCTGTCATACAAAAGTTAACTATAAGTGTGTCAGTGGGTGAAAAGACATGAAATGGGTGAGAACTGACTGAAGGCAAAATAAATATTAAATAAATAAAAAAGCTTCCAGGTACACTTCTATTTGCCAGGAAAACACGGTATCTATTACATATAGCAGATGTCCTGACAGAACGAAAAAAAAATCCTTCTGAATAGGACCAAAAGGACCACAGGATCATAAACCGCAGTATATTTACAGAAGACATACGGTCAAATACAAAACCTTTTTTTTTTGTCTCCATATACAATTTTATTCATATACATTTACTTAAATAATGGCTCCACAGATAATAGAAATGTCTCTTCAAAATGCCGGTCAGAAAATCTGTGCACAGACTGACGAGCTTTTTCTCTGATCTCTAACCTTTTCTCAGGAGACAGAGAGAGAATACGGGCCATAGTCTCAGCGTAACTGTCCTCGTCCTCGGCCAGGAAGCCTGTAATGTGCCCTTCGTAGGGGACCACAATGTCCAACTTGGGGCCTCCAGAATTGTGAGCCAGGATAACCGTGCCAGCGGCCATGCATTCAACAACACCTGCAAAAGAAGCAAAACATGCTGATATGAACATATAAATCACACACTTTTGATTTCAACACTAAACTGGAAATTTAAAACCTCCATCTCATCTCCCCAGAATTACAAGTCATCTTTGTTACTACCGATCTGACTTCTAGCTCAGTCTGAAAACACAGAATAAATGCCCTTCTAGCAAAAGCAAAACAAATTTGATTTCTGAGCCCCAACTGCATAAATTGCATTTTCTATTAAATACGTATAATTGAAATTAGAAATCAGATATAACTGATTAAGTTGCTGTTGTAACATAATTGATTTACCTAAGAGAGATGATATTATGATAAAAGAGTAGATGTTGAAAAGGACATAAAGATGAATTAGTTCTGAGACAAAATGCTCCTAGCTAGCCTGAAAATGAGGATGTGATTTTATGGCTTCATGGCAGCTGCCAAAAATTTTAAATTAGAGCTGAACATGACTGGATATTCAGTTTCCCGTTCAGACTGGAGACTAGTAACATTTAGGAAGATATTCTGAAAGAAAAGCTGACTGTGGCCATAGTGTCTCAATCTGATGAAGTTCAATCAGATCTTCAATATTTTGCAGATGAACCAAAGTGGTTTGACAATTCAGCAAGACAAAACAACTACATTGGTATAGCTGAATCTGTATTTTTGACTATGAAAAGTTTTATAGAAAAATTGTCAGTGGCAGGAATCTGACAGAAAATGCATTTCCCTTAGCCAAAAGCTGCACGATGAGAACAGCACATAGCTCCATCTCTCCTCCATGTTTCCAAAAAACACCTCACATATCATTTAATTGCCGTTTTTCTTCGGTTCTGATTTGATTTTTAAAAATTCCAATAATGGCCAGCTATAGATAAAGCTCTAGAATTTTGGAACACATTTTCTAAAAGCAAAAGAGCCACTGGAGTTGAACGTGAAATCATTCTGAAATTTAGAATCACAGTACGATTATATCACATTTCTTTGAAAATAAATGTATTTTATGGAGGCAAAAATATAAGGAATCATTATTTCCAGTTTGACAGTTGCTTCTGGGATATTATTGATTTCTTTATACCGATTTTCTATGGAATATAAATTACATCAGGAATTTACTTGTATTCTAATAAAATCTTAAGTCATTAGCTGGAACTTGGTTACATTATTTCCAGGTACAGTATCTATGTGTCACTTGCTCATTGTACACTGATGGCATTTGGTGATCTTACACTCCCTTTCAAAGTTAGGAAAACTCTACCAATCCAAAAAATCCATGCCTGGAATCTTAATTTCACATGACAGCAGGTTTCACCCCAGGTCTCAGCTCCTCTGGGATTCAGGTCCATATTCATATTTAAGGCACCTGATTTAAGGGCTCAGTTTAGTTGTCTTAACAGAGGTGTCTAGTGGAGTGGGATGAGCCAGGTGCCTGGCCTTGCACAAACCGTGCTCTAACCACCAAGAGATAAGAGCTTAACATTCGGAGAAGACACTGACCGATCCCAAAGTGCTCGTTCCACATGGTGTGCAGGCCGATGGTGGCCTCGCCCAGGTGCTGCTTGAGCTCCTCAAAGGGAATGTTAATCCTGAACACCACATGCTCAGCAACCCCGAGCTCTTCACACAGACGTCTGAGCTTGTTGACACGCTCCTCATCTTGCTGGTTACGACAGCCTCCAATTAGGATGAGCTTCAAAGGCGGTTGCTGCACCGGTCTCCTCTTTTCCAGCAGTTTAGCAAAGGCTCTGATTTGCAACGGATGATCTTTCTCAGGCCGGAACTGGCTGACAGAAACAATGGAATATTTAGTAATGCTCTTTTCCTCTTCCAGTGGAATATCCAAGAAGGTCTGAACATCGCACGGCGGGTACACAACACTGGTGCAAGCTGCGGATCTCCAGAGGGAAAGGATGTGATTCAGTGTCCAGGAGGAATTGACCATAACCACGTCACTGCATGAGCCGACCAGTCCGTAGAGAAAGGCAAACAAGTAGTAGTAGACAAGTTTAAATTTGCTGACGAGAGGACTGTTTGTAATGAACGCGGCATTGTTAAACCTGGTATCCTGATTCCTCACTACGGAAAGCATGTCTGTGCTGATGGTGGGATAATGAACGTAGCACCCGACACGGCAGCCTCCCATGTATTTGAAGAGTGGCAGCGTGAAGGCATAGCCCATGGAGTCAATATAAACATCAGGAATGCACTTTAGCAGAGCTTCCCAGCCAAGAAGCACAGAGCCCAAGCTCTGTCCCAGCAAAGTGAAGTAGGGGTAGAGAGCGGCTTCCACGAGATAGCGCTTTTCTAGAAATACAAACTTCACAGGGTGAGATAATTTGATATTGAATCTTCTCAGGGCACCTGCTATTATATCTTCTCCAGTGACATCTCTATCGCCAGTATAAACAACACACGTGATATTTTTGTACCTGAAAGAGCAAAGAAAAAGAATTTCACATCTTTTCTTTAAATCACATATCATAAATCTAAGATTTTATCTACCTCAACCTTACCCAAAGCGTGCGAACAATTTTCTGGCCTGCCTCTGAAATGATTTTGAGTTATCTGAACCGATTTTATGAATTCTTGTGTTTAAGCCACCCCACACTACATAGCATGAGTGAAATGCAGAAAGACAGTGCAAGCCAGTGGATGTGTCAATGATAAATTCACTTGAGATATTAATTAGTCTTCAGCACCAAGAAGTAAGTACCAAAATTTGACAAGGAGTAATGGGTATAAATTGAAACACAGGCAGTTCCGTCTCCATGTGAGGAGGAACTTCTTCCCTGTGAGGGTGACAGAGCCCTGGCACAGGCTGCCCAGGGAGGCTGTGGAGTCTCCTTCTCTGGAGATCTCCCAAACCCGCCTGGATGCCGCCCTGTGTCCCTGCTGGAGCAGGGGGTTGGACTAGAGGATCTCTAGAGGTCCCTTCCAACCTCAACCAGTCTGTGATTCTATGAAGATTAGACCATTGGTTATCTACTGATGAGTTATGTCCATGCAAGTGCTACAGAACAGCTGGGGGAGGAGAAGTAAGGCCAAGGAGAGAAGCATGGGATGTTACTGGCAATAACTACGCAGAAACCAGAGGGTGGAACAAGGTCTGGAGCAAGGAACAAAGCAGAAAAAGGAGGAACCCAGTGAGACTCAGATATAAAGAAATTAAGAACTTGTAGATCACTGATACTAACTTAAAAAAAAAAAACTCAAAAAAAAGTGCAAAAATAATTCCTCGGAGGCTCACATTGAAACACCATGTTTGATAAACACATGTGCTTACTTTTTCTGGAGCGTTCTTATGGCACACCACAGGACTCTCTCCCCTCCGCCACCTGCATTGCAATATGGGTGAAAAAATGCAACTGTCAGTGGCTGCTTCCCATCTGTTCCCGATGAGGCCAACTGTTTTTTCCTCTGTTGTATCCAGAGCCGTATTCCCCAAAGGAGCACGAACAAGCAGAGGCACAAAATTCCGCTTAGAAATAGCGCAGGGATTAACAGCGAGGACAACAATCTGAAACAAGCAGGAAAATTCAAAATGTAAATTTGCTTTAAAGAAATACTATATATGAGATGTGCACAGAAGGGCCTACAGGTGGAATTAAGGGCGCTAGGCAACTTCCTGGGCTTTCTGAACCTCGGAAATCTTCAGTACTGGTGCCTCATTTCTACAATGGTTGGAAATGAAACTGCTTCCAAACGGATGTGCAAGAGCCCCCCTCAGCCCAAGACACTGCTGGCGTGCAGAGCTACCAGAGTTAGCAGCCCTGCCCAGTACTTGCATCTTCCTAGGTCCCCACCCTGCAGCACCCCGAGCTGAGATGTGAGCAGCCCTGTTCAGGGTTTCAGGTCTCCAAGGTGTTCTCTGAACCACGTGCAGCCCTTAAACCCCCGTGCAGCTACATTAAGGCGGGTACATGGAAGGGTCTCTTGAAGGAATCTTTCCTTGGACCATAAAGCTTCAAAAGGAAATAAAGAGAGTGCCCGACTCCTGACGCTGCACTACACGTTATCTGATGTTTCTTTTAGTGGCTACGAAAGCCTTGCTCACAGCAGCTCAAGCACCGGGAGACACGGAAGGCCGCGGGCGGCCACCTCATTTTCAGGGCGAGGAGGTCGCGGCCGGTAACACCGCCAGGCCGGCGGTCCCGGTGCCGCCTCAGGAGCAGCGACGGGGCACGGGCGCCGCGAGCGCCAACCGTCACCAACCGTCACCAACGGCCGCGGGGCCGGGGGCAGGCAGCGCACCACGTGAGCCGCTGCGAGGGGCTGTGGCGGGGACGGAGACGCTCTCCCTTCCCGCCCCGCGGCCGGGCCGGGCCGGGCCGCCCCCGGACAGCGCTGCCCTCCCGCGCCCGGTACCTGAGCAGCCCACACAGACACAACCCTCCCGCCACCATCTTGCGCAGCGCCCTTCCGCCGGAAGGGCCCGCCTCCCCGGGGGGTGTGACAAGAGGGCGGCCGCCGCGCCTCATTGGCTCCCACTACAGATTGGCGGGGCGGGACCTCGCGGGGGGCGGTGCTTCCCGCTCGTTCGTCCCGTAACGGCCGTTTTTTGTCGTTTGTCCGTTGGGATTAACGGATGCTTTGTGCGTGTCTTGCTCCCGCGCCACGCGTTGCAGTCTGGCTCCTAAACAAACAGCCCTCTGCCCACTGGTGTGGTGCTGCCGCCCGTGAGGTTTCGGGGAGCCCATGCCAAAAATGCAATACTGAAAATTCACCATTTCTGCCCCTTCTTCCCCTAAAGGGACTGGCTGCTCCTGGAGGACATCCAGGTGCCTTGCTGTCCCTTGCCCTTCCTCTTCCGTGTTTTCCACGCTGAGGAAGCTTTGGCTGAGCCAAAGGGCAGGGATGAGGCGAGGGCGGAGGGGAGCGCTGCTGTCATGGGCTTCAGCTCTCCCTAAGGGAAAAGCAAAGGGATGGAGCCCACATACAGCCGGTTATTGCTTTATTGGGCACAGGCTGTATCGCATGGGCAAACAGCCTAGGTGGAAAGTGCTGGAGAAGGCCTGCTCGGGGGTCAGGCGCTTCCTTGTGCGCCTGCCAAAAAAGATGCTTGTTACAGGGGAATTTAAATAATCATAAATGAACAAAAAGGCATGAGAATTTATAGCAAAAGCTTTCAGTCTTCTCTAGCCTTCCCTCCCTCACACATAGACCTTCATAAAATAAACACTTCATGAGATGAATTTGTGCGAGATAGATTAAGCCTTGCTGTCCCCGGTCTCCTGGTGTGCTTGAGGGCCTTTGAGTTTACTTTCTTTGAACAGAACCTCTCCAGAAATGATAATCTTCTCAACAACTTTGAAGTCAGACTCATCTCTTCCATGTCACGGCCTTTGGTGCATTTTGAGGTCTTGAGGCTGCTTATGAAGGTCATCTGGGGTCTTCCCTGTCAGAAAAAGTGCTGGTGGGAAAATGCTGGTTTTTCAGTCAGTTTGGACATTGCTGTGGCCCTAAGCAGAGGGACAAAGTGTCTGCAGTGCTGGGAGATGTGAAGCACTCACATGAAGTCATGTTTATTGGATACTGGTCTCCACTGACTTTTCCACTTCTTGTGAGGTGGGGATGGAATTAGAAATAGGCCAAGCCCTTCTTTTATTTCTATGGAGAACTGATATTTTTGCTTAAATCTCGTCAACTGTCCTAAATACCACTTGACTATGGGTGTTCGCCTTTGTGCAAGCACGGATGAGGTTAATTTGGAGCGTGTCTGTGGGGATGCCCAGCAAGCCTCACCACTTCTGGACCAAAGCGCTCTCAGGCAGGGTGCCACAGAGAGAGGCCCTGGTCTCTCCCATGTTCTTCTCCTTCCACAAACATCCCCTGAATATCCAGTTGCCTGGGAAGCATGGGGGATTGCAGTAAAAGAGATTCACCTCTCTCATCCGAGACACCTCTCTTGTAAATGTCAAAGTCTGAAGCTATTTGCGTAGGTTCAGAGGAGAGATGCGGTTTTCCCAGGAACACAAAGCCTGGTTTATTTTAGCTGATGACTCCCCACCGACTTGGAAGGGAGCTTATGGGCACTCCCTTGGAAGGCATGAGTCTTAGATCGGGTGTCTCTATGAAGCTGAAGGGTGACAGGTTAGCCAGGGCTTAATTAAAGCAAGACTGAAGTCATGCTGGGAAGCTCAAGAAGTTGAAGAGTTCAGGAAGCAAGAAGACAGAAATAATAAGGGAGACACCTACCCATGTAGCTTTTGAGTTGCTTGGGCCACAAATGGCAGAAGGAGTGTTTTGGATTTAGATCCAACACTGTTCAGTAAATCATAGAGCAAAAGCTTTCAGAAAAACCTTCATTTTCATGCGTCTAGAAGAGCACAACTTGCACTTTCCAGTCAAGCCTCACTGCACGTTTAGCTGTATTGGGAATGAGGAGGCAGCCTGCAGAGCTTCCAAGCAAAAATCAGGCAGTTTCTTCAGGATTTCAGTCTGACATATCCAGAATAAGTGTCAACTTGAGTCCAACAAAATCTTTTGCTTTCCTTGAGAAAGAGTAGCTAACCGATTTTCTGGAATTTCCCCCAGCTCCCCTTTCCCCTTGCACCAGGAGGAGCCGCCGGAGCTGCCCTGCGGCAGCGCGTTCTGCTTGCAGCGCGTGAACGTGTCGTGCAAGGTGAACCTCACGGGTATCGGGCTACCTGCGCTGCCTGTGGATAACTGATGTGGAACGTAAGTCTGCACTTAAATACATCCAAGCTCGCTGGTGACACTCTGGATAATTCCTATATGTGGCTGCTGTCTCGCCCCAGGCAGGCAGCATCCAGGCCAGCAGGCCACAGGAATCCTTTTGGCAGATCAGCCCTCCCCCATTTGTCATCCCTGTCCTGGAGCTTGGTGGCCCTTTCTCTTTCACAGCTGTATGTACCCCCTCCCAGAGGTGTTTAAGGCATTGCCTTAAACACAAGCTCTGCCCTCCAGCAGGGGCAGAGCCAGAGTGCTCCTGGTGCTCCTGCTGCAGAGGTGAGGCTGCTCCTGGCCGCCTGCCCTGCAGAAATTCCATGTGCTACATGGGCCAAGGAGACTGAATTAGCCTCGCCATGAAGGGAGCTTTGTGCTCACCCTCCCAGACATGCACAAAAATTTTGCTTCCTTTGCTGCTTCTGTGGGCACTTCTGCCCTGTTTTAGCTGCTTTTATTTAAGGTCCTCAGTGTGAAGCAAGCTGTGTGCAGACAGGGCTTCTGAGGAGAGCAGTATCCAGCTCAAAGAGCAAAACCCACGCACAATGAAATCTCCACAACCCTGCAAAACATTTGAGAAAATTAAGAACTCTTAATTCTTGCTGGGTACTAAGCACACTAATAACTTGGTAAGATATGACTGCTGGCATGTAACAAACACACAGAAGCTGGGTTAATATCATGTAAGGATATTCATATGACCATCATGTGCTCTGTTACACTCCTACAATTGACCACTTTCTTTCTGAAACTTAGACTGTTCAGCGTTGAGTCCCTCGTGCCGGGCTGCTGCCTTAGCTGACAAAATGCTGGGGTCTGTTTTTAGCAGAAGGAACCTTAGATCATTCATATACGCAGTAAGTTTTTCCCTTTTTTTTGCAAAGTCTTGGGATAAATTGTGATAAATCTTGCTTTTCATTGTGTAGGAACAGAAGTCAAGTTGCACTAGTCGTGCACTACACATTTGCTAAGCCAAAAAACAGGTATTGGAAATAAATGATCATGCTTTCATATCTAGAGCAAATTTTACTGACAAGCTATAATATTAAAGTTGCCAAATATAAGCAATTGCTGCAAAAGAGGGTAGTTTTAAACTGTGAGCTGTACTTAGAGCTAGACGTCTCCAGGAACGGGTGCCCGTGGGCATGAAGCTTAGATCTACGTAGATTTTTTGCAAGAATTTATACAACCCAAATTTATTCATAGCACCATGCAGCTTAAGCAGTCTGAACCCATCGCCTTGGTTAATACACAATTGCTTTTATAAAAGTTGACCCAGCTGAGCAAGGAGCATAAAGGAAAACAAACGAGCTCCACTGTTGGAGTTTCATCCTGCGGATTGTGCTGGTGTTTTAATGTCCCATGAGCATTGGAAGGGAAAATGAAAATGTCTGTGTGTTTTAGGATGGGTGGAGGAAACGGCTGCAAGTGGGAGCTCGGGAAGAATCGAGAATTTAAGCACCATCGCACCATACTGAGCTTGAGAAATAATCTGTAGTTACACCTTAATTCCCTGCTTTTTCAGCTGGAAGTTTGGGAGCTTGAGTGGCTGTGAAAGCAAACCTAACCCCTTGCATTTTCCTGCCTCTGAGGCCCAGTGTAGCTCATGCTGATGTGAAGGGGATCACCTCTCTCTCAACGGTGCTTTAACATCTGTTTAACTAAGCTCTGAAACTACTTATTAAGCTGCTAAACCTCCTTGTGTGAAATTAATACCCCCGTCATTAGCCTTTGAAGGGGACACAAAGAGTGAAGGGAAACCCCTGCGCTGAGCTGGTCAAAATGCCTTTGAGCGTGTGTTGGTGTTTGCTGTTAACCTGCCCGAGGAGCCTGTCCAGGTGAAAATCCAGCTCATTCCGGGCAACGCAGGGCAAGGCAGGGTTCATCACTCCACACTCGCGCCTGGCTCCTTGGCGCTGAGCAGCCGGAAAAGAAGCCAGAAACTGGCTGCTGACCAGGACAAGGGGGAGTTCCTGTTACTGGAAGAGGCTGCTTGGCTAGCCCAGACATGAGACATGCAGGCACTGTGCCCTGTTACCTCCCCTGACCTTTTTATTCCCTGTTCCGGGGATAAAGCAAGCTGGAAAAGGTCGGCGTCTTTCCCATACTGCAGTTTCAGACAACACTTCTCTGGAGTGTGAACTAGGGCTGCTTAGAAGTGGTTCCCTGACACGCTGCCTTTTTTTCCTAGCAGAGATAACCCACGGGAGCAGCAGATAAACGAGCTGGTGGCTGCATTTCCAGCTCTGCATCCCTGGAAACTAAGGGCAGTTAATAAATCTCAGGAGGTTGCTCAGCAACTCTCAGGATGGTGTTTTCTGCTGAGCTGCTCAATGCACTAGTTTGGAAGAAACATCCCATTTTTTTGTAGAACAGGCTCAGGGAAACTCTGAACATGTCAAGTGGTTGCTGAGAGATGAAAAAAACCCTCACTGCTGGAAGGCTTTGGGCTTTTTTTTTTTTTGGCATTTTTCTTTAAAATCACAAGCTTCCAGGAACCATTTCTTGTAGGAGACAACTGTCTCAAATTCCTTCTGTGTGTTCATCCAATAAAAAGAGACTATTTTTGCAGTGCTATTTAGTTCTGATGATCCAAGATATACACCGAAAAGAAAAAAGAGAGAAAAATTTATGCATTTGAAGACATGTTTTTGACTGCAAATTCAAATTCAGGAATGTTTCAGACTTGCAAAGAGAATTTTGCTCTGCATTGTCATTTTCTT